CCCTTCAAAAGAGATATTTGCAAATTCACTCAATGGTTATAAATGAAATATATTATTATCATTTGATAAAAATTGAAATTAAAAACGAGGTCACGAAAAGACCAAAATATTCTTTCAGAAAAAATAATTATAAAAAACAAAGATCGAGTTCCCTAGATTTCTATAGATCAAAAGATATTTTTTCAGAACATAAGATGCAAAGAAGAAATATTGGAATTTTATACCGCCTGATGACTATTCAGTTATGAAAAGATTATAATGAATTTAGCACTAGAATTGTTAACAATTTTACTAACTAAAGAATATAATTTTCTCCCTCTACTGGTTTAGAGCCCAAAGTGGAGGAAAGCTACAATACAGCTGAACTGAAGAAGAAATTTAAGTAGCACATGTGAACTTTTTTTCCAAGGATTTTAGGGTCGTTTCGGAGTAGATGCAGTGGAGTAGTTGTCATGTTTCTTGATTTTCCATCTGTGTTGTTAAATCTCGTACTTTTTGTGCCCAATACTCACTGCTTTGCTGTAGTTGGATTGAGAGCTACAAAAGATATCAAGATACTCCAGTTAAAGATCAGTCTGCCATTATCCAATTAAAATATTGTTCCTTGAATTTAAAAGTTTAAATTTCTAGTGGCAAGATGCAGACATAGATTTTTGAACTTAGATCTGAGCGGCAATTATGTGCCTCTACTGATCTCGAAGAGGCGCGAAACCTCTGCATGCTCCGCTTGTCACCACTACGTCGGATCGATTAGGGTTTGATCACTGGGATGTGAAAATTTATCGGGTTTGAGGGCTTTGTGGGATTTGATTGAATTTTTTTGCGGCTTGGGATGATTTTTTCTACGGTTTTGCGGTTTCTCGTAAACCCCTATGCCCCCCTTCTCTACCTCGCGTGTATGTTAAGTAAAAAAGATGTCTATTTGAGAAGCGAGAAACAGAAGTGGAAAAGTGAAAAAAAGATGAGTGAGTAATATGAAAATACGGAATATCCTCTGCCATTAGGTAACGAGCCTAGCGCATTATCAGTCTTAAATCCACAACGCTACAGGTTTGCTGGGATCTATCAACCATTTCGGCTTTCATTTCTAGAATTTATTGATCTCGCTTAAATAGGCTGTCAGTTTTCCTCGCTCGCGGCATACCTCACCAACTCTCTGAATCCAATACGACTTATCCAGTATTTGAGGATCCTTTACACCAGCTTTCTCCATTTCTTTTCTCATTATTGACCTCACCTGTATCGACACACACAAACAAAAATTCTCACAAGTCTGAGGAAGGAATGACTCCTTCATACCAGCATTTTTGAGAGCGGTCGTGCAAGGAACCCCGACTCCAACGTCACCGAATGCATTTACGTGGTAAAAGCCTTGAAAACACCGTGTACTATTATAGTAGAGCGAGCAGCGCGAGCAGCGTGGCTCCATTATTATAGGAAATAGTAGTGAATCTATACATCATGTTGTAATTTGCAATCCATGTCAATCTTCTCCATCCAAAAGCATCTTTGTTTCCAACTGGTTTATCCTGTATCTCATTTGATTTTTTCAAGACGTTGCACGCTTCATTTAATGATTTTATCACAATTAACGACAATTTTCAGTAACAAAAATAACAAAAGATCTGTTATGGTAGTCACTACGCATTCTGATATCATATTCCATGGAGAGTGAATTTGTACAATTTCGTTCGTTAAATGCTAATGAGTTTATCACTAAATGCTAATGAGGAGAACAGTTAAGAACAATCGTGAACATTTGTCCAAATACGTCGTCACCGTTAAATTTTCCACGTGAAAATTTCCGATCAACTGGTGACTATAAAGTCACAAAAATCAGCAAAAAGGCGAGTTTTCATTTCATACCACTAACATTCTCGTGATCTGTTTGGGCACGTAGGAGTGATTCACGTTGGGGGTTATCGCATTTAGCCAAGAATGAGCCAAGAACATTCCGTAGAACCTGAAGGTCATGAAGTTGTGCACATATCGTAGTGCTTTTGAATAAATATATTTGCCTTTCTGCTGAATTTTTGTGAGTCTACAGTCACCACCAGCCGATGGAAATCATAACCTTTGGTAGCATCGGTTGATTGGGAATTTTCACGGAGAAAATTCAGCGGTGGAAACGTATTTGAAAAAATGTTTGCAATTTTTATCAATTGTTCTCCATCACCATTCAGTGACAAATCATTAGCATATAACGAATGGGTTAGACGAGTTGACTCTAATTAAGTTATTAATGAGAAGACAATTACAAAAATAGAGTGAATAGACACAAGACGTAATTGCAACCTTTACCTTGTCTTTCTGAGCCGACTTCTGTCTGTAAAATACGAAAAAAATAGCCCTAAGTCCAAATACTATAAATCAGAGGAATCGTATGGATACGAAAACGAAAACTGAACGATGGACACTCGAATCTAATCGCCTGTCTAGAGGAAACGTCGATAGAATAGGGATTTTACTTACAGTCCTTTGTCGATAGACGAGTAGGCGGAGTCGTTCAAACCATACGCGTCAATCTGAAGAGAAAAGTTTGTGGAACATTTTAAACTCCGAGTTTTTTAAGGGCAGTATTCTGAAATGATATCCAATCTAAGATTTTCAGACTTAAGTTACTGTCTATTTATCGTACGGGAAAAAAAAATTGGTAGATTATTTTGCACGTTTATGGGCAGTGGCACCTTATATGTAAGTATTAACACTACATTCGTCATATGAGGAACTCATATCACGTGACTAGGACTTACTATGTGGAGAAAAGTTTGTAGAACATTTTAAACTCCGAGTTTTTGAGAGCAGTCTTCTGAAATGATATCCAATCTAAGATTTTCAGTCTTAAGTTACGGTCTGTTTATCGTACGGGAAAAAAAAAATTGGTGGATTATTTGCACGTTTAGGGGTAGTGGCACCTTGTATGTAAGTCAGCGGCCCTGTTTGAGCAAAAACCTCCTTTGAACTGTGAGCTTTCTTTCATTTCCGCCATTTGTCTATACTAGTCTGTTGTAAATTGTCGTTGTCGGATAATTATTTAAGCATTTTTACTGCCCTAAATTTCTATTTTGTAAGAAAATGTACTGGCCTCCCGTCACTACGCTGTAGGATAAAATGGCGTATTTAGTACAAAATATTTACGTCGGCGTGAATAGTTTTCGTAGGAGAATCGTTCTTTTTCCTTCGTGTGTCATTTAATTCAATCTTGAATGAACCATCTTGTCTTGAAAAACAACGCCTTGTGCGTTGCCTACTTTTGGGCGCTGTCGGGCGTTGGATAGTTTCAGTTGTGTGAGGATGGTAATTTTGTTGAAGCTGGAAGAAATTGCCGATGACTGACTTGTGTAAAACATTGTTGAAATAAATATTTGTTCACTTTGGGAACCATGGTCAAGATTTTACTCTTCAATGTCGTCAGCTTTACAATGCTCCGTACCGGCTTTGAAGGCGGCTGTTACGAACATATACCACCAGACAAATCAAGGGAAGACAACTAAAGAATCCAGCTTAAAAGGATACTGATTAAGGAGCCTTTCCCACACCGTAAATGATTGTTCAACATTACTTTCGGCCGACATGTCGCAAGCGAAGAATGGTAAGCTCTTTGTTGTTGTTTATTCCACGCGTTTGAGATGTACTCATACTCCTTGTCTTTCCACATGACTACATTTGCCCTTTTCTTATCGTATGAAAATCCTGCCAGTTGTAGTTTCCATCGTATTTTGCCAGCAGAAATACATAATTTGTGATAAAGTTCAAGCCCTTTCCTGAACGGACCGATATCCTGTTGCGTGAACAGTGCGAAACCTCTGGCGGATACTGGCATAAAGACAAGCTCAGTCTAAGGGGCCGGTGTATTCTTCTAACCAAAGTTTCCGGAAAAACATCCCACGAGCCATCAATTCCCCCCTGTCCTCAAGAAACTGAAAGTAGCAACAGTTACTATGTTAATGTGATAAAAGTACTGCAACGAGATAAATAAAGAAACAAAACTCTTTTATTGAACTAGATGATGGCGAATCCAAGCGCTGTGTGAAAGTCGATGCATACGAATTATTAATTTACAATACTGATGTTCAGTTATTTATTTGCCATTCAGCAAAATGGGTCACACGGTAATACTATACTTAAACTAAAGAAGTTTTCTCCATTAAAATCTCTGTTTGAAGTTAACTTGAACCAGATAACCTCACTCGTTTTCCGTTTGACCGGCTCGACGACGACAGCCTCAACCTTTGTAATCTTTGAGGAAAGGAGCAACTTGCGGTGAAACTGCCCGATGACTTCTCAGCACAAAATTATTGTGCCGATTCTTTCGTCAAAAGTTAGCTTGTGGTTTGCTAAGGGAATCATTCTACGGCAACGAAACTCTAAAGCACTGGCCAAGGGGAACCTTCGCCGCACTTAGTGCGAAGGAATAAAATGTTATGTCAACAAAAACGAACACCGCTACCCATTCTTAACATAGATTTCGCCATAGAAAACAAAACAAAAACGCAACAAACTAAACATTCAATAACGGGAGTTTTTTGTTCTAATCTTGACCTGAACACCGCACGCGAGAGACCGTCTTAAGGCCTATTTACACGGCACGACTTTGTCGCATGCGACAAGCTTACGACAGGCCTACGACATGACTTAAGAGTCGTAAGCGAGTTGTAGGTTTGATTTACACGAAACAATTCGTGTCGTAAGCCTGTCGTAAGCTTGTCGCATGCGACAAAGTCGTACCGTGTAAATAGGCCTTTAGACAGTCTTCGTCGAAATCATCGTTTGATGCAGGCGGTCGAAATCTTCGTTTGATGCAGGCGGTTCTCCTTCCTAGGTTCTCCTTTGTAGGACTGAACCGTACTCGCAACTTTTATTTTTTGAAATCTTTCTTCTATCGGAATTGGCTTTTATGTATGATAAGCTAAATATTTACGCATAAAAATTTCGTGTCATAGGCACTTTAAGAGAGAGCAGCGGGAATAAGGCTTAAAGAGTCAGACGCTATGCGGCTGTAACATCTTTATTGGCAAACTTTACACTTCTTTACGTACATAAGATGAGATGATTCTATCAATAAATAAAACAAAGTTCTCAAAATTATAAAGTAAAATAATAAAATATACTTTTCTCACGCTCGCGCACGTAACAGCATTTACAGATTACAATTCCCTTCAAAAGAGATATTTGCAAATTCACTCAATGGTTATAAATGAAATATATTATTATCATTTGATAAAAATTGAAATTAAAAACGAGGCCACTAAAAGACCAAAATATTCTTTCAGAAAAAATAATTATGAAAAACAAAGATTGAGTTCCCTAGATTTCTAGAGATCAAAAGGTATTTTTTCAGACCATAAGATGCAAAAAGGAAATATTGGAATTTTATACCGCCTGATCACTATTTAGTGATGAAAAGATTATAATGAATTTAGCACTAGAATTGTCAACAATTTTTCTAACTAAAGAATATAATTTTCTCCCTCTACTGGTTTAGAGCCCAAAGTGGAGGAAAGCTACAGTATAGCTGAACTGAAGAAGAAATTTAAGTAGCACATGTGAACTTTTTTCCAGGGATTTTAGGGCCGTTTCGGAGTAAATGCAGTGGAGTAGTTGTCATGTTTCTTGATTTTCCATCTGTGTTGTTAAATCTCGCACTTTTTGTGCCCAATACTCACTGCTTTGCTGTAGTTGGATTGAGAGCTACAAAAGATATCAAGATACTCCAGTTAAAGATCAGTCTGCCATTATCCAACTAAGATATTGTTCCTTGAATTTAAAAGTTTAAATTTCTAGTGGCAAGATGTAGACATAGACTTTTGAACTTCGATCTGAGCGGCAATTATGCGCCTCCACTAATCTCGAAGAGGCGCGAAACCTCTGCATGCTCCGCTTGTCACCACTGCGTCGGATCGATTAGGGTTTGGTCACTGGGATGTGAAAATTTATCGGGTTTGAGGGTTTTCCAGGTTTTGATTGAATTTTTTTGCGGTTTGGGATGATTTTTTTTCTACGGTTTTGCGGTTTCTTGTAGACCCCAATGCCCCCATTCTCTACCTCGCGTGTATGCTAAATAAAAAAGATGTCTATTTGAGAAGCGAGAAACAGAAGTGGAAAAGTGAAAAAAAGATGAGTGAGTAACATGAAAATAGGGGAATATCCCCTGCCATTAGGTAACGAGCCCAGCGCATTATCAGTCTTAAATCCACAACGCTACAGGTTTGCTGGGATCTATCAACCATTTCGGTTTTCATTTCTTGAAATTATTGATCTCGCTTAAATAGGCTGTCAGTTTTCCCTCGCTCGCGGCATACCTCACCGACTCTCTGAATCCAATACGACTTATCCAGTATTTGAGGATCCTTCACACCAGCTTTCTCCATTTCTTTTCTCATTATAGACCTCACCTGTATCGACACAAACAAAAATTCTCACAAGTCTGAGGAAGGAATGACTCCTTCATACCAGCATTTTTGGGAGCGGTCGTGCAAGGAACCCCAACTCCAACGTCACCGAATGCATTTACGTGGTAAAAGCCTTGAAAACACCGTGTAATATTATAGTCGAGCTCGCAGCGCGAGCAGCGTAGCTCCATAATTTAGGAAAGAGTAGTGAATCTATATACCATGTAGTAATTTGCAATCCATTTCAATCTTCTCCATCCCAAGGCATCTTTGTTTCCAACTGGTTTATTCAGTGGTTTATATCATTTGATTTTTTCAAAACGTTGCACGCTACATTTCATGATTTTATCACAATTAACGACAATTTTCAGCAACAAAAATAACAAAAGATCTGTTATGGTAGTCACTACGTATTATGATATCATCAATCATAACGGTTATGATTGATGATCATATTCCATGGATAGTGAATTTGTACAATTCGTTTGTTAAATGCTAATGAGTTTATCACTAAATGCTAATGAGGAGAACAGTTAAGAACAATCGTGAACAACTGTTAAAATACGTCGTCACCGTTAAATTTTCCGCGTGAAAATTCCCGATCAACTGGTGACTGTTAAGTTACAAAAATCAGCAAAAAGGCGAGTTTTCATAACATGCCACTAACATTCTCGTGATCTGTTTGGGCACGTACGAGTGATTCACGTTGGGGGTTACCGCACTTAGCCAAGAATAAGCCAAGAACATTCCGTAGAACCTGAAGGTCATGAAGTTGTGCACATACCGTAGTGCTTTTGAATAAATATACTTTCCTTTCTGCTGAATTTTTGTGAGTCTACAGTCACCACTAGCCGATGGAAATCATTACCCTTGGTAGCATCGGTTGATTGGGAATTTTCACGGAGAAAATTCAGCGGTGGAAATGTATTTGAAAAAATGTTCGCAATTTTTATCAATTGTTCTCCATCACCATTCAGTGACAAATCATTAGCATATAACGAATGGGTTAGACGAGTTGACTCTAATTAAATTATTATTGAGAATACAATTACAAAAATAGAGTGAATGGACACAAGACGTAATTGCAACCTTTACCTTGTCTTTCTGAGCCGACTTTTGTCTGTAAAATAAGAAAAAAATAGCCCTAAGTCCAAATACTATAAATCAGAGGAATCGTATGGATACGAAGACGAAAACTGGACGATGGACACTCGAATCTAATTGCCTGCCTAGAGGAAACGTCGATAGAAGGGGGATTTTACTTACAGTCCTTTGTCGATAGACGAGTTGGCGGAGTCGTTCAAACCATACGCGTCAATCTGAAGAGAAAAGTTTGTAGAACATTTTAAACTCCGAGTTTTTGAGAGCAGTCTTCTGAAATGATATCCAATCTAAGATTTTCAGACTTAAGTTACGGTCTGTTTATGGTTCGGGAAAAAAAATTGGTGGATTATTTGCACGTTTAGGGGTAGTGGCACCTTGTATGTAAGTCAGCGGCACTGTTTGAGCAAAAATCTCCTTTGAACTGTAAGCTTTCTTTCATTTCCGCTATTTTTCTATACTAGTCTGTTGTAAATTGTTGTTGTCGGATAATTATTTAAGCATTTTTACTGCTCTAAATTTCTATTTTGTAAGAAAATGTACTGGCCTTCCGTCACTACGCTGTAGGATAAAATGGCGTATTTAGTACAAAATATTAACGTCGGCGTGAATAGTTTTCGTAGGGGAATCGTTCTTTTTCCTTCGTGTGTCATTTAATTCAATCTTGAATGAACCATCTTGTCTTGAAAAACAACGCCTTGTGCGTTGCCTACTTTTGGGCGCTGTCGGGCGTTGGATAGTTTCAGTTGTGTGAGGATGGTAATTTTGTTGAAGCTGGAAGAAATTGCCGATGACTATGACTTGTGTAAAACATTGTTGAAATAAATATTTGTTCACTTTGGGAACTATGGTCAAGGTTTTACTTTTCAATGTCGTCAGCTTTACAATGCTCCGTACCGGCTTTGAAGGCGGCTGTTACGAACATATACCACCAGACAAATCAAGGGAAGACAACTAAAGAATCCAGCTTAAAAGGATACTGATTAAGGAGCCTTTCCCACACCGTAAAAGATTGTTCAACATTACTTTCGGCCGACATGTCGCAAGCGAAGAATGGTAAGCTCTTTGTTGTTGTTTATTCCACGCGTTTGAGATGTACTCATACTCCTTGTCTTTCCACATGACTACATTTGCCCTTTTCTTATCGTATGAAAATCCTGCCAGTTGTAGTTTCAATCGTATTTTGCCAGCAGAAATACATAATTTGTGATAAAGTTCAAGCCCTTTCCTGAACGGACCGATATCCTGTTGCGTGAACAGTGCGAAACCTCTGGCGGATACTGGCATAAAGACAAGCGTAGTCGAAGGGGCCGGTGTATTCTTCTAACCTAAGTTTCCGGAAAAACATCCCACGAGCCATCAATTCCCCCCTGCCCTCAAGAAACTGAAAGTAGCAACAGTTGCTATGTTAATGTGATAAAAGTACTGCCACGAGATAAATAAAGAAACAAAAATATTTTATTGAACTAGATGATGGCGAATCCAAGCGCTGTGTGAAAGTCGATGCATACGAATTATTAATTTACAATACTGATGTCACTTGTTTGCCATTGAGCAAAATGGGTCACACGGCAATGCTGCACTTAAACTAAAGAAGTTTTCTCCATTAAAATCTCTGTTTGAAGTTAATTTGAACCAGATAACCTCATTCGTTTTCCGTTTGACCGGCTCGACGACGACAGCCTCAACCTTTGTAATCTTTGAGGAAAGGAGCAACTTGCGGTGAAACTGCCCGATGACTTCTCAACACAAAATCATCGTGCCTCGTAATGCAGCCGATTCTTTCGTCAAAAGTTAGCTTGTGATTTGCTAAGGGAATCATTCTACGGCAACGAAACTCTAAAGCACTGACCAAGGGGAACCTTCGCCGCACTTAGTGCGAAGGAATAAAATGTTACGTCAACAACTACCCATTCTTAACATAGATTTCGCCATAGAAAACAAAACAAAAACGCAACAAACTAAACATTCAGTAACGGGAGTTTTTTGTTCTAATCTTGACCTCAACACCACACGCGAGAGACCGTCTTAGACAGTCTTCGTCGAAATCATTGTTTGATGCAGGCGGTCGAAATCTTCGTTTGATGCAGGCGGTTCTCCTTCCTAGGTTCTCCTTCGTAGGGCTGAACCGTACTCGCAACTTTTATTTTTTGAAATCTTTCTTCTATCGGAATTGGTTTTTATATATGATAAGCTAAATATTTACGCAAAAAAAAATTTCGTGTCATAGGCACTTTAAGAGAGAGCAGCGGGAATAAGGCTAAAAGAGTCAGACGCTATGCGGCTGTAACATCTTTATTGGCAAACTTTACACTTCTTTACGTACATAAGATGAGATGATTCTATCAATAAATAAAACAAAGTTCTCAAAATTATAAAGTAAAATAATAAAATATACTTTTCTCACGCTCGCGCACGTAACAGCATTTACAGATTACAATTCCCTTCAAAAGAGATATTTGCAAATTCACTCAATGGTTATAAATGAAATATATTATTATCATTTGATAAAAATTGAAATTAAAAACGAGGTCACGAAAAGACCAAAATATTCTTTCAGAAAAAATAATTATGAAAAACAAAGATCGAGTTCCCTAGATTTCAAGAGATCAAAAGGTATTTTTTCAGACCATAAGATGCAAAGAGGAAATATTGGAATTTTATACCGCCTGATCACTATTTAGTGATGAAAAGATTATAATGAATTTAGCACTAGAATTGTCAACAATTTTTCTAACTAAAGAATATAATTTTCTTCCTCTACTGGTTTAAAGCCCAAAGTGGAGGAAAGCTACAGTATAGCTGAACTGAAGAAGAAATTTAAGTAGCACATGTGAACTTTTTTCCAAGGATTTTAGGGTCGTTTCGGAGTAAATGCAGTGGAGTAGTTGTCATGTTTCTTGATTTTCCATCTGTGTTGTTAAATCTCGTACTTTTTGTGCCCAATACTCACTGCTTTGCTGTAGTTGGATTGAGAGCTACAAAAGATATCAAGATACTCCAGTTAAAGATCAGTACGCCATTATCCAACCAAGATATTGTTCCTTGAATTTAAAAGTTTAAATTTCTAGTGGCAAGATGCAGACATAGACTTTTGAACTTCGATCTGAGCGGCAATTATGCGCCTCCACAGATCTCGAAGAGGTGCGAAACTTCTGTAAGTTCCACTTGTCACCACTGCGTCGGATCGATTAGGGTTTGATCATTGGGATGTGAAAATTTATCGGGTTTGAGGGTTTTGCGGGGTTTGATTGAATTTTTTTGCGGTTTGGGATGATTTTTTTTCTACGGTTTTGCGGTTTCTTGTAGACCCCAATGCCCCCCTTCTCTACCTCGCGTGTATGCTGAATAAAAAAGATGTCTATTTGAGAAACGAGAAACAGAAGTGGAAAGGTGAAAAAAAGATGAGTGAGTAACATGAAAATAGGGAATATCCCCTGCCATTAGGTAACGAGCCCAGCGTATTATCAGTCTTAAATCCACAACGCTACAGGTTTGCTGGGATCTATCAACCATTTCGGTTTTCATTTCTTGAAATTATTGATCTCGCTTAAATAGGCTGTCAGTTTTCCCTCGCTCGCGGCATACCTCACCGACTCTCTGAATCCAATACGACTTATCCAGTATTTGAGGATCCTTCACACCAGCTTTCTCCATTTCTTTTCTCATTATAGACCTCACCTGTATCGACACAAACAAAAATTCTCACAAGTCTGAGGAAGGAATGACTCCTTCATACCAGCATTTTTGAGAGCGGTCGTGCAAGGAACCCCAACTACAACGTCACCGAATGCATTTACGTGGTAAAAGCCTTGAAAACACCGTGTAATATTATAGTAGAGCTCGCAGCGCGAGCAGCGTAGCTCCATAATTTTAGGAAATAGAAGTGAATCGATATACCATGTAGTAATTTGCAATCCATTTCAATCTTCTCCATCCCAAGGCATCTTTGTTTCCTACTGGTTTATTCAGTGGTTTATCTCATTGGTTTTTTTCAAAACGTTGCATGCTACATTTCATGATTTTATCACAATTAACGACAATTTTCAGCAACAAAAATAACAAAAGATCTGTTATGGTAGTCACTACGTATTATGATATCATCAATCATAACGGTTATGATTGATGATCATATTCCATGGATAGTGAATTTGTACAATTCGTTTGTTAAATGCTAATGAGTTTATCACTAAATGCTAATGAGGAGAACAGTTAAGAACAATCGTGAACATTTGTCCAAATACGTCGTCACCGTTAAATTTTCCGCGTGAAAATTCCCGATCAACTGGTGACTGTTAAGTCACAAAAATCAGCAAAAAGGCGAGTTTTCATAACATGCCACTAACATTCTCGTGATCTGTTTGGGCACGTACGAGTGATTCACGTTGGGGGTTACCGCACTTAGCCAAGAATAAGCCAAGAACATTCCGTAGAACCTGAAGGTCATAAAGGTGTGCACATACCGTAGTGCTTTTGAATAAATATACTTGCCTTTCTGCTGAATTTTTGTGAGTCTACAGTCACCACCACCCGATGGAAATCATTACCCTTGGTAGCATCGGTTGATTGGGGATTTTCACGGAGAAAATTCAGCGGTGGAAACGTATTTGAAAAAATGTTCGCAATTTTTATCAATTGTTCTCCATCACCATTCAGTGACAAATCATTAGCATATAACGAATGGGTTAGACGAGTTGACTCTAATTAAGTTATTAATGAGAAGACAATTACAAAAATAGACTGAGTTGACACAAGACGTAATTGCAACCTTTACCTTGTCTTTCTGAGCCGACTTTTGTCTGTAAAATAAGAAAAAAATAGCCCTAAGTCCAAATACTATAAATCAGAGGAATCGTATGGATACGAAAACGAAAACTGAACGATGGACTTTCGAATCTAATTGCCTGTCTAGAGGAAACGTCGATAGAATAGGGATTTTACTTACAGTCCTTTGTCGATAGACGAGTAGGCGGAGTCGTTCAAACCATACGCGTCAATCTGAAAAGAAAAGTTTGTGGAACATTTTAAACTCCGAGTTTTTTAAGGGCAGCATTCTGAAATGATATCCAATCTAAGATTTTCAGACTTAAGTTACGTTCTGTTTTTCGTAAGGGAAAAAAATTGGTAGATTATTTTGCACGTTTATGGGCAGTGGCACCTTATATGTAAGTATTAACACAACATTCGTCTCATGAGAAACTCATATCACGTGACTAGG